GGGTCTTCGTTGCTGCACACGGGCTTTCTCTAGTTGTGGAGAGCGGGGGCTACTCTTTGTTGCAGTGCGTGGGCTTCTCATTGCAGTGGCTTCTCTTGCTGCAGAGCACGGGCTCTAGGCATGCGGGCTTCAGTAGTTGTAGCACGCAGGCTCAGTAGTTGTGGCTCATGGGCTCTAGGGCACAGGCTCAGTAGTCGTGGTGCACAGGCTTAGTTGCTCCGCGGCATGTGGGATCTTCCCAGACCAGGGCTTGAACCCGTGTCCCCTGCATTGGCGGGCGGATTCTCAACTGCGCCACCAGGGAAGCCCCTGTGTTTTTTAAAGTAGGATAAATTGACATTTTTAGAACTTAAGTTAGAAGAAACTCTTTAAAGTGAGAGCTTCTATTTCTGTGGTATTGCTTTTGAAAGTCTCTGAGCCCTCCCTCTGCCACTGTCCATTCTTTTGTCTTGAGTTTCTGTGTTTCTTTGTGATTCATTCCTTTTTCACTGATGACTTCTCTGAGTGTTTCCTTGCTTGCCCCAGTGGCAGGAAAAGCCCAAGACAAAGCCCCAGCCATCTCTCTTTCCAAGCATCTGTCTCACCACCGCACCATCTGTCAGTTGTTCTTACCTCTTGGCTACAAAAGAACAGCTTTGCTGAGGGCTCTGTGTTTGAGATAATATTTTTGATCATGTTCACCTGATTTTGCTAGAAAGAAAAGCGTTGCTTACAAAGGACAGATACCCTTGCCCGCAGCCAGACTCTAAAGTCCTGTAACTAAATTAACTAGAGTATTGATTGTCTTTTTGATCATCTAGGTATTGTATTTTCTTTTCTCTGTCATGGTATCACTAGAGAGGGTAGCTTTTGTTTCCAAAAGACAGGCTGTCACAGAACAAAATCATCATCCGCAAGGGCAGTGGGTAACAGATCTAGGAGAGAAAGTGTTGGGGACAGCAAGGTCCCAAAGGGGTAGTGTGATGTCCTAGCACTTTGTATAAAATTACAAGAAATGGAAATATAAGACTTGATAGCACCAGGCAGTCAGAAAATCAGCTTTGTTGAATTTTCTTTCCCTTTGCACAAAATTATAATTGCCTTGTAGGAAAATGAAGTTATCGTGTTCACCCTTATTAATGTTACTGGTAGCAGTAGCATTCTACAAAGTCTCTGCAGGACCTTAAAGGACTGTGTGACCCTATATCAAAGGGGTATGGTGTGTCTCCATGCCCTGAGATCGATTTGCTCTGCAATGATGAAACTCAGATGTGTATAAATAGCTTATTGACACTTGACTGTGAAATTTCTCTCATGGGAGTAGAAAGAGTCAAAATAATGAAATTGCTCAGAATTACTAGTTGATGTAGTAGGATTCCCAGTAAAGTGTACTTCTGATTCATCTGGTCATTCTTTTATAACGTCTTTACATTTGAATTATATAAGCAGAGTCTGATAATCTTGTTGCTAGTTGTTTCAAAAAACAAAAAGATAATGAGCATAGAGGGCATGATGATGAAATTATGGTAAAATTTGTATATATCTACTAAATAGTCTTAAATCGCCCTTGGCCAGTGTTGACAGTGTAAGACTGAACGGCATTAAAGACTATTAATAGTTCTCTCTTCTTTTCTCTTTGACAGGTACATAGGTTGTATGCTATGTTACGCTGTTATCTTTCCACTTTTTTTCAGTAAAACACTTTAAACATATGGGTGTGTCACATAAGAATTTGCAAACCACATATCACGAAGCTCTTTTTGGCATGAGTTCATTGGCATGACTTCAGTCCTCTGTGGATGTTTATTTGTGTCCCCTGTACCACAGACAGGTTGATTTCTGTCCCCCAGGGCAGTGGTTCCCAACCTTTTTGGCACCAGGGACCGGTTTCGTGGAAGACAATTTTTCCACAGACCAGGGGCAGGGGAATAGTTTCAGGATGATTCAAGCACATTACATTTATTGTGCACTTTATTTCTATTATTATCACATTATAATATATAATGAAATCATTATACAACTCACCATAATGCTGACAGGAGGCGGAGCTCAGGTGGTAGTACGAGCGATGAAGATGTAAGTACAGATGAAGCTTTGCTCCCTCCCGCTGTGCTGCCCAGTTCCTAACAGGTACTGGTCCATGGCTCGGGGGTTGGGGATCCCTTCCCCAGGGAGAACTGGGGTGAAAAAATTGGCATCTGTCATTTCAGTTCAAGCAGGATTTATTCTTTACGTGCAAGTTTAGAACAGACTGTAAAGTCAGTCTCCTTGAATAAAAGTTCTGTTTCCTCCTCTGTGAGCAGACCTGTGGATATTTAATAAAGCTGCTATTTATTGTTTTATTAAAATATAATTTTAGGATGGAATATCTGAGTGTTAACATACGATCTAAAAGTTATCAATTATTAAAGGACTTAAACTATTGTTTTAAAATTATTTTTACACCTACTTTGCTGAGAAGTATACTATGTGCAGATCATAGTGTTGCGGTTCTGCCATATGAAATATTATTCACCTTAAACATTATCCACTAGCAAAAAGATGGGGCTTTTTTGTGTGTCTTTATTTTAAACATAGAGATGAAATTCACCCAGGCCCTTCATATAAGGTAAACCCTAAACTTTTTCACTATGTTTGTTGATTTTCATGCTCTTGCTGTCCCAGAGGATGTTTGAATTTATCAAGTGAGAAAGAAGTTTAACTGGCTATCCAAGGATTTCTTGTGCAGTTATTTCATACAAGTACAACAGATATTGAAGATATTGCAGTAAACTTTGGGAAGCAATAAACTCTTAAATGGAAAGGTTTGTTACCAAGGGAAATAGAAGATAAAAGTTCCTTACAAAATATTTGACAGGCAGGTTTTAATCTATTATGTGTGCATATATTCTAGAGTATTTGGAAGGTAATGCATGCTCAGTTTTTAGCAAATGAGGTATTGTTCATTGCATAGACAGATTTCTCTAAGGATATGCCACTTGTGCTGACCCTTTTTTGTTCTGTTTCCTATTAATTGGCAGTTTACTCACCTATTATAATTTATTTATTTTTGGCTGCGTTGGGTCTTCATTGGTGCGCGCGGGCCTTCTCTAGTTGTGGAGAGTGTGGGCTACTCTTCCTTGTGGTGCGCATGCTTACTGTGGTGGCTTCTCTTGTTGCAGAGCACGGGCTCTGGGCTCACAGGCTTCAGTAGTTGTGGCACGTGGGCTCAGTAGTCGTGGCACACGGGCTTAGTTGCTCTGCGTCATGTGGGATCGTCCCAGACCAGGGCTCGAACCTGTGTCTCCTGCATTGGCAGGCAGATTCTTAACCACTGCACCACCAGGGAAGCCCTGCTCACCTATTGTTGGTAGCAGGGATGAGGATGGGGTGATAGTGGGAGAGGGGAGATAGGATCATAAAGCCCCCGATTCAGGGCTTTTTGCAATAAGCTGGATCACAAAAAGCAACTCTTATAGTTGTTTTGAGTAGTTTGTCCTCTTATTTGCCTTTAATATTTGTGGTCAGAATTAGAATAGAGCTGAAATTCCAATTCTAGGCCTAGAGCTTGACAGCTTTTTTCAACTTTTAATTTTGAGGTCATTGTAGATTCACATGCAGTTGTAAGAAACGCAACAGAGAGAAGCCATACACCCTTCTCCCAGTTTCCCCCAGTGGTAACGTTTTACATAACTGTAGTATAATATTACAAGCAGGAAACTGATATTGATATACTCCCTCCACCATTTTCACATTTCACCAGTTTTCATGCACTCATTCGTGTATGTGTTTACTTAGTTCTGTACAAGTTTTATCACACGTGTAGATTTGTGTGATCACAACCACAGTCAAGATCAAGAACAGTTCCATCACAAGGATCCTTCGTGCTACCCTTTAATAGCCTTAGCTGTTTCCTTCCGTCACTTCCCCCCCACCCCAACCTCTGGCAACCAATAGTCTATTCTCCATCTCAATTATTATGTCATTTCAAGCATGCCATATAAATGGAATCAGGCAATATGTAACTTTTTGAGGTTGGCTTTTTTCACTCACCATTGTTCCCTTGAATATTTTTTGATCTCTAGAAGATATAATTTTTGAATCTGGTCGTTTGAGTAGGTATGCTTGTTTCACAGGTGATATCCAGAATTTGTTTTTGATACTAGAAAAAATAAAGTTGTCTTTACTGTTGGTAGTAGTTTCAAGATTTGATAGTGCCCCCCAAAAAAATACATAAGGAAATTAAATGTATTCAAATAGTATTTAATGTGGTGATTTCTGTAAACTTGATTTTTTTTAAATAAGCCAATAAAGCATAAACTTCTTAATGTTCTGAGATAGTGATTCTTCCACGTTCTAAATGGTATTAACATGTTGCCAGGGAACTTGATCAAATAATATTGGTCAAGATAATACTGGAGCTGTTGCAGAGGATATTACAACCCAAGGAGAGATTTTATATATCATATTGCCAAGCTTTAAATATTTTTTTATTAGACTGTCATGGTATCTCTAGTAAGAGGCTGTGGAAACTAAGATCTAATGTTCAGTTTTTCTTTGCCTGAAAAACTGATGACAGCAAGAGAATATTTTCCTGTATCTCTTTCAACAGCATCATTTTCTCATTGTCTTTTTGATTTATTTATTACCTTGTTCAGTCTGGATATTAAAACGACCTTGTTTATTTCTAAAGCCTCATATAGACCTTTCAGTTAGTGTATCATGCCTTCCTGAGAACCCTGGCCCTCACCATCTTCTGGCGTGTTGTGTTCTTTGTAGAAAATGAACCAATAGAAGCAATAGCCAAGTTTGACTATGTTGGGCGGTCTGCCAGAGAACTGTCCTTCAAGAAGGGCGCTTCCCTGCTGCTGTATCACCGCGCATCCGAGGACTGGTGGGAAGGCAGACACAACGGGATCGACGGGCTTGTGCCCCACCAGTACATAGTGGTGCAGGACATGTAAGTAGTCCCAACTTCCATCACCTGACGCTCCCAAGAGAAGACTCCAGCCACTGTTTTTATATATATATATATTTATTTATTTGTTTGCTTATTTATCTATTGGCTGCACTGGGACTTCGTTGCTGCGTGCGGGCTTTCTCTAGTTTCGGCCAGCGGGGGTTATTCTTAGTTGCAGTGCGCAGGCTTCTCACTGTGGTGGCTTCTCTTGCCGCGGAACATGGGCTCTAGGTGCGCGGGCTTCAGTAGTTCTGGCACACGGGCTCAATAGTTGTGGCTCACAGGCTCTGGAGAGCAGGCTCAGTAGCTGTGGCACACAGGCTTAGCTGCTCTGCGGCATGTGGGATCTTCCGGGATCTTCCCAGACCAGGGCTCAAACCCTTGTCCCCTGCATTGGCAGGCGGATTCTTAACCACTGAGCCACCAGGGAAGCCCAGCAGCTATTGTTCTTAAAATGACTTTGGTCTCGTGAGAAGAGAGCAGAAGGGACTACAGAGCAAACATTTCTGAGCTGGGCACAGTTCTTCACCTTGCTATTGGGTCTTTGCTAACAGCACTTCAGGGCCAACAGCTTCTCATTTCCCAAACTCTCCTAGAAGGTCTGGAGCCAAGGACTAGTGAGAGACACACCTTCTGAAGCGTTCAGGTTCTTAGAAAAATACCCTGTGCGGAGGATGGCTTTAGGAGCTAAAGTGGCACTGCTGATTCCAGAAACAATGGTGGCTTTTCTCTTGGTGCCTGTCTACTGTTTCAATTCCAAATTCCCAAGAGAGAGGATGCTGACTTCAAGTCTAAAGAGAATCATCTTCAGGCTTCTTTATTAATTTTGCTGATGAGAAAGCTCTACTTTCAAAAATACTTAAAGAGACATCTTCCCATCTGGTCATAATTTTAAGTGAAAGAAACAAGTTACAAAATACCATGTACAGTGTAATTTTAATTTTGCGACTGCGGTATTTCACAATGCAGCACCAATTTATGAACAGCTTTTCAAGGAAAAGAGAAAAATACCACATAAAATGTATACAGTGACTGATTCAGCCTAAGTTTTAAAATGTTAAAATGTGTCTCTCAGAATGCAAGAAATATGATGTGTGTGTATGTATGCAGACATACAGTCATATATATCTAAAGTACATAAATATCTATAGTATAAATACTGTACATACCTGTGGACATCCTTGTAGATATGTATCCCAGGCAGAGAAGAAAAGCATAGAAGGATATTTTCTAGAATTCGAACAGTAGTTGTTTCTGGATGTTACGTTATATTATGGGCAATTGTTATTGGAATTTTCCAATTTATCTGCCATGAAACGTTATTATTCTTATAGTGAAAAAGAAAAAAGGTACGTTAGTAAGAGAAAGACTTACATACATAAATGCCATCACTTATTTTTTTTGTCCCCATTCATCTAGCAAAAGACCCTCACTCTTGATTCTCACTGTTTCAGGGATGATACATTTTCAGACACTCTGAGCCAAAAAGCCGACAGTGAGGCCAGCAGTGGGCCAGTGACTGAAGACAAGTCTTCATCCAAGGACATGAACTCCCCAACAGACCGTCATCCTGATGGCTATTTAGCCAGGTAGGTGGAGTGGTCACCAGGCTCCTGAACCTCCACTTCTCCAGGGGCTCTGAGGGGCCACGGCATCCACAGCCTTGCAGAATTACCCTGTGTGATAACCTCTCCTATTCTCTCGCCCTCTGTCTCTGTCTAGGCAAAGAAAAAGAGGAGAGCCACCCCCTCCAGTAAGGCGTCCTGGCAGGACCAGTGATGGCCATTGCCCTCTCCATCCCCCACATGGTCTTTCCAACTCCTCAATTGACCTGGGGTCCCCAAGCCTGGGCAGTCACCCCCGGGGCCTGCTACAGAACCGTGGCCTCAAAAGTGACAGTCCCGAGAGGAGGCGTCGGCCGGGTCACGGCAGCTTGACCAACATCAGCCGCCATGACTCCCTCAAGAAGATTGACAGCCCTCCTATTAGAAGGTCCACATCATCAGGGCAATACACAGGCTTCAACGACCACAAGCCACTGGACCCAGAGACAATCGCTCAGGTAGGCTGCTTTGAATAGAATATTGCATGGTAAGTACCGGTGTGTGATGAAGGAGGCGTACAGGAGTTACTTTCTGGAGCCATGTCTTTTGTATAGAATCAACTAAAGACAACAGAAAAGAAATTAACCCATTCTTCAATTTAAGTCCATGTGATACTGGAAGGGCCCAAGTGTATTAGGTTCATAGTGATTTAAACAAAGACACGGCAGAAACTTGGACCCAGGACAGTCAAACACATCATTGCTGAATGGCCAGGAAAATTCTAAAAAAGAAGACGAATGAGGAAGGACTAGCCCTACCAGATCCTAAGTGCATGCTAGAGCTAGTAAAACAGACAAACTGATGGAACACAATGGAGAGCCCTGAAACACAACATTTTTAGTGTATGATGAAAGTGACACTTTCAACTTAGGAAATGGTGGATTACTCAGTAAATGAAGTGAGAAAATGATGGTTGGCTGTTTGAAGAACAGCAAGTTGGGCTCCTCTGTCACTCCTGAATGGATGTGTGTCTTCACTTCCCAATAGTGACTGCAGAGAAGGGCCTTGTAGTTTTCTCTAATGATCAGAATTGACAAAGTAGGGCTTCCCTGGTGATGCAGTGGTTAAGAATCCGCCTGCCAATGCAGGGGACATGGGTTCAAGCCCTGGTCCGGGAAGATCCCACATGCCGCGGAGCAACTAAGCCTGTGTGCCGCAACTACTGAGCCTGCGCTCTAGAGCCCGTGCTCTGCAACAAGAGAAGCCACCGCAATGAGAAGCCTGAGCACCACAATGAAGAGTAGCCCCCGCTCGCTGCAACTAGAGAAAGCCCACGCACAGCAACGAAGACCCAACACAGCCAAAAATAAATAAATAAAATTAATTAATTTAAAAATAAAAAGAATTGACAAAGTAAAAGTAAAACAGTATTAATGGATTTTTCCGTCATTCGTTCTACCATTTATTTCCCTCTAGGTCTTTTTACAACACAGACCATCAGAAAATATATGTATGATGGGAAAGAAAAAACTGAATCACTATGCTGTACACCTGAAACTAACACAGTATTGTAAATCGAGTATACTTCAATGGAAAAAAAAAGAAGAAAATATGTGTATGGCCAGTGAAAAAGGAGGTGAATAGATTCAGGGTTCACCATTTCAGTAAAGGGTCTTCCAGGTATCACTGAAGCTTAAAAAAGGAATAGATCAAAAAAGGAAGTGAGAAATTAATGAAACAAACATGGGGAAGTATTAAAGATGGATTATTTTTAATAAAAAGTGCTCAAGGAAACCTGCATTTGATATGACAAATTTCCAAGCTATTTCCATTGTCCTAACTAAAAAGAATTTTGGATAGCAAATTAGATTGTGTGGAGAGTTGAATGTGTTTTTACAAAATTAAACCAATTTTAAGTGCACAACAGTTTTTCAGCAAAAACCAAAAAGACTTTTGACCTTTTTGGTTTTTTTTTTATTTAAAGTGCAATGCAGAGTTCTTTGAGGTCTCTTTAGAACCGATGATATTTGGCTATAATCCATAACATCATTCCTTGTAATAAGCAGGTGAAACAGCATTTAGGTTAGACAGGGAGCAGGAGATAAGTGGTGGGAAGGTATAATAAGGTCTGTTTTAATCCTTTTACTTCTAGAACCAAAATCCTTTCATTGTAAATCATAAAAACAAAAACTCGACAGATAAACCAGGCTCTGCACGTTCTCTCTGGGGCAAATACTTGTAAAAAACAAATCCATATATTTAGCATCAAATGGAAATCACATATGAAAATAATCACTTGAAAAGTGATGTCATCCTCACAATATGGCTTCCAGCTGTGTCCTTTATTTATCTTTTCATCTCTCATCTTCAGATTTTCCCATGAGGACAAGTAAGCCTGCCATCATGGTGTTCATACCAAAAACATGCACTTTCTTTTAGTAAACAAATCAGTGGAATCCCTGATAGAGCTTTTTTTAAAAAAATTACATATCCATATGTGATCACTGGATCTTCGTTTATTTATTTAGCAAGTCTTTATTGAGCACTTACTGTATGGCAGCTCCCATGCTAGGCGTTATGGACACAGAGTTAAATCAATGGTCAGTCAGCCGCTGCATGAAGGTGCTTATAATTCAGTGGACGAGGCAGATATGGAAATCAGTTGCTGCTGTGCAGGGCCACAGGCTAATGCTCCAGGTGAGTGGAAGAAGCCCTGGGAATATGGAGAAGAGGTATTTCCATCAGGCCAGGGCAGTGGTTCTCCACCCACCCTATCTCACACAGTACTCCATCATGTGTGTGTGTGTGTGTTGGTCGGGGGGCGGTGTATAAAAAACATAATGTGGGGCTTCCCTGGTGGTGCAGTGGTTAGGAATCCGCCTGCCAATGCAGGGGACACAGGTTCGATCCCTGGTCTGGGAAGATCCCACAGTCCGTGGAGCAGCTAAGCCCAGTGTGCCACAACTGCTGAGCCCCGGTGCCACAACTACTGAAGCTGGCGTGCCTAGAGCCCGTACTCCGCAACAAGAGAAGCCACTGCAGTGAGAAGCCCGTGCACCGCAATGAAGAGTAGCCCCCGCTTGCCGCAACTAGAGAAGAGCCTGCGTGCAGCAACAAAGACCCAACCCAGCCAAAAATAAATTAATTCTAAAAAAAAAACCATAATGTAAAACTGACCCTCTTAACCATTTCTAAGTGTACAGGTCAGTAAAGTGTATTCACATGGCTGTGTAACAGATCTCCAGAACTTTTTCATTCTGCAAAACTAAAACTCTATACCCATCTAAGAACAACTCCCTTTTTCCCCTCCCCACCATGCCCTGGCCACCACTATTCTAAATACTTTTTGCTTCTGTGAATGTGCCCACCTCATATAAGTGGCATCATGCAGTATTTGTCTTTTTGTGACAGGCTTATTTCACTTAACATAATGCCTTTAATGTAGCATGTGGCAGGATTTCCTTATTTTTTAAGGCCCAGTAATAATCCATTGTACGTATACAGCACATTTCACTTATCCATTCATCTGTCGATGGTGCACACCTCACCTTTTTAAAACAAATATTTTGTAATTCCCCCTTTATTATCTGAAAAACTGATGATGTGCCAATTTTTTTAAACATATAAAGCCCTAAATACAATGTAAAGGAAAAACAAAAGGAGATTAGTATTAAAAGAAGTGTATTTCAGAATGCTTAACTACATTAGAAGACAAATGTAGTAGTGAGATGCTTTCACCTACATGTAGACTTGCCATAAATACAATTAAAAACGTACATTGATGTAAGAGTATTATTAAGTTAATTAGTCTCGACTCAGTTTCCATAATGGTGTTCCCATTATGGAAAAAAATTATGATTTTTCTAAAATGGTAGACCACCCTCGGTCATACAGTTCTAATCAAAGCAGAGTATAATTTACATGATAGTTTCATTCCTAGAAAACACCATGAAAAAAATATTTTGTGTTTATACATAAGTTAGGTTCTAGACTCAGACTATTATTAAAAATATTTCACCTACATAAATGTCTGGAGGACATTTAAAAGTTGAACGAGATATGGGACAATTCATTGCGTGTAAATTATCCAGGACACTTGTAAGGTATCCAGTATTTCGGGCCCCTGCACACCAAATGCCAGTAATGCCACCTGGTTATTTTGACGTTTAAAACTACACATACACATACAACATATTACAGGCCCTCTGTGGGGCAGTACCACTTCCACTGAGATCGACTGGACAAAAGCGTCAGGGGAAGTCTTAAAATGAATTCTGAAGAACTGCTAGGAGTTACTCAAGTATATAGTAAGTGCTCAAAAATTATTATCTGTTGAATGAATGAAAGAAGCCTGATTTTTTTCATGGCTATACACTTTTATTTCTTAAAAATTGTTGCGGTATCTAAATTTAAGCCATCTTTTACCACAGATTGAAATAGAATTCCATATAAGATGTCAGCATGTAAGGTCAAACCCACCAGAAGGCTGCCACGTGCCTCAGAATGGCCAGTGCTTGTTCTGTGGCTCTTTGAGCCACTGGCGCCATCGCACTCTTGTCTCCTGCACATTCCGAGTCACGGTAGTCGTGTGAGATGGCATTAGGTTTACACACTCCACAGGCTGGTGTTAAAACCGTCATGCTTTTGGTGGTCTGCTTGCTTTGAAGTATATGGTTTCTATACATTAGTATTCATTATCAGCCTAGTCTGTCTCTCTTTCTGGTTATTTTTTTTTCCAGCTAATTATCGAGTTATCATTGACACACAGCACCATATAAGTTTAAGGTGTACAGCATAATGATTTGACTTACACGCATCATGAAATGATTACCACCGTGGGTTTAGTGAACATCCAGCATCTCACAGAGATACAAAATTAAAGAAATAGAAGAAAAAATGTTTTTCCTTGTGATGAGAACTCTTAGGATTTACTTTCTTAACCTTCATATGGAACCTACAGCGGTGCTCATTATATTTATCACGTTGTACATCACATCCCTAGTACTTAATTCATCTTATGACTGGGAGTTCGTCCCTTTAGACTACCTTCATCCAATTGCCCATCCCCGCAACCCCCCGCCTCTGGGAACCACAAATCTGATCTCTTTTGCTATGAGTTTGTTTTTGAAGTATGCTTGACCTACAACACTGCTAATTCCTGTTACATGACATAGTGATTCGATATTTCTATACATTTCAAAATGATCACCACAATAAGTTTAGTTACCATCCCTCATTTCTGGTTATTTTTCAACAGGATATTGAAGAGACGATGAACACTGCTTTGAATGAACTCCGAGAACTGGAGAGACAGAGTACAGCAAAACACGCCCCTGATGTGGTGCTGGATACCTTAGAACAAGTGAAAAACTCTCCCACCCCTGCCACGTCCACGGAATCTCTCAGCCCTTTGCACAACGTTGCCCTCAGGAGCTCGGAGCCTCAGATTCGACGTAGCACTAGCTCCTCCAGTGACACAATGAGTACTTTCAAGCCTATGGTGGCGCCCAGAATGGGCGTGCAGCTGAAGCCCCCAGCCCTTCGGCCGAAACCTGCTGTTCTTCCAAAAACAAACCCTACCGTAGGGCCCACCCCACCTTCCCAGGGGCCAGCAGACAAGTCTTGCACAATGTAAAAACCAACTGAGCGAGCATACGGGGAGGTGATTAGAAAGAGAAAACGGATTAGTGACAAAAGTCAACAATCCTTAACTTTCCTTAGTCATGTGCTTATAACTGGAGACCCTTTGGCTTTTCTGTGTTCTCGAATGTAATATCTGAGACTAGCTAAATTAACACGGGCATTTGTATTTTGTAATTTCATCCTTTTTTTTAATAACTGGACATATCCTGTGTCATTTTAAAGACAATAGAAACACTTAGACTTACTTGAAAATCCAATGCTGCACCATTTGTAATGAAGGCAACACCACTCTGCCCTGCACGTTGCTCAGTGCTTCAGGCTTCGTGTAGCCTGGATGAGTCAGAAGCGTCTGAATCCAAAGGCAGGAGGATCTGAGTTCCAGGCCTTGGAATGTAACCAGTGTTGGTCTCTGGCACTTGGGGTAAGGCTAAAAGGTGACAATGGCATTGTTTGGTAGCTGACAGTGAGTACCTCTTATTCCATGCAGTGGGGCAGGGGGCTGGCTCTTGCTACAGACTTGCTGTTGTCACAGTGGGGTGTTCCCAGCGCGAGCTGCAGCCCACCGGCTGACTTTCGTTAACAGTCGTTTCCCTGGGTCCAGGTGAAAGTCTCAGCAGGAGCGGGTAGAACCTCTGCGGTTACTGCTTGAACTGAACCTGGGAAGGGACAGTCCTCCAGAGCTATTGCTGTGAGTCTTTCCCCAAGCCTGATCAGGCCCCGGAGGGTTTCCAAGTCCATCCCCTACATTCACTGCAGACTAGAACAGTCTAACTTTAAAGACTTTCTGGTTACACTACTCCATGAACCCCTTCAGAGGTCTGTTGTTGCCTAGAAAACAACTTCTAGCTCCCCTAAGCCCCCGTGTCTTCCTCTGTGGCAACGGAGAAAGCAGACAGCGCACAAGTCCTTGGTTCGCCGGCCTTCCCTTCCCCTGACAAGATGACCTGGGTTCCTTTAAACGTGCTACAGAGGCCTGATGATGCTAAATTTGAATCCCCAGCTCCCCTCGGCATTTGTCTCTTTGAGCTACGGTACTGGGGTACTGGCGTAAGAGCCAGAGCAGCCAAGGTGGGACGATGACCTCATGCTTCCAGGACGACTTCCTCCCAGTTGTGCATCCTGGAACCATGGCTTTTTTTGTTTTCTCCATGTGGTCTCTACTACATCTCTCACACGGTCAGCTGAACTCCACTGACACCCTCTTTCTCTGACATCCTCACCCACAGACAGTTTTTCTTTAGCCCATATTTATGCTCCGTTTCTCCTCTATCTTAAAAAGCTTGCTTTGAATTCATTTGTTTTTACTAAGGTACAGATCACCACTGTCCTAACAGCAGCAGCTTATGCCATCTGTAAACCTATGAGCATTTTATCTACTCTGTCGTTGAACTTACTGAGGAAGAGTTTTTTTGTTTGTTTTTTGGTTTGGGGGGTTTTTTGTTGTGTTTTCAGAAAAATGGGTGGCCAGAACTAACCCCTCTGGACCACTTTGATTTCAGACTGGCAGCCAGCTGCATGCTCACCTAAGAGTTACAGTATGGGCTTTGATTTCTCAGCTCATTGGTGAATGCATCAATGTGGAAAAAAATGGGGATCTGTGCTAAAATCAAGATCATTACTTTGATCTCTACCTCAGTTTGCCAGTCTAATCATTCTAATGCAAAGAGAGATTACATTTATGAGATACTGTTAACCTTTCCAAGTCACACTGCTGGTTGCTTGCCTGCAGCCTGATTTCACACATGGATTAAATAGTGAAAAAAATTATTTCAAATATAATATTTCCAGGTATTGTAAACCTCTGAATTTTTACAACATCCTTCTTGCCCATTTTGAAAAAGAGGCCCAGCTCAGCATCTTGTGCCACGCCCCCCCACCCTCTCCCTTGAGCTTTAGTGGTCCTTCAGCACCTCTGGGCACCATGGAAACCCAGCCAGGACTGAGCTCTGAATAGCACGAACCCTTTTAAACAACCTTCCCAAATTTCTAGGAAATTGAAACTTTTAAGATAATCTCCCAGTTCTTTCTAGATTCCACTAAGGTCTCTAATTCTCTGTTGTTAACGGGGAAACAGAAACAGAGAAAAGGGTGGAAGTCATGGGGAAGGAGACTTTCAATCTTTTAGAAATTAAAGAGGATTCTTAAAAAACCACTTCCTTATTTGATGGATGAGTAAGATGTTAACAGAGGGCGTCAAAAGGGCAGAGGTGTTTTGAACTTACTAATTTTTGAAGGGTTCTTTTACAAGCTTTAACTTTAGCTTTTCAGATCTTACTCCTGCAAACTCATTTCTTCAGACTTCTCCCTGGTAATCCTCCCAGTGTCTCCTCTCTTTGCTGTTGACAACCTGCGATGGAACGAGGACTGCCTTTCCACCCTCCAGATCAGGACTCTGCTGCCTCGCACGGCAGAGGACATGCTGCTCCAGACCTCAGAGCCTCAGAGGCTGTGCCTTCTTCCAGGAAGCATTTCCGAATACCCTCCCATCGCTCCCTTTCTTTACCTGTCTCTGTCTTTTCTCTCTATAACTCTGTTGTCACCCTGAGGCTTTTTTTTTTCTCCCAATTCCCAGGGAAGGATGTGACCTCAGAGTGAGTAAGGACTCACTAATCCTTACTTTGTTTAGTAAAAGCCTTCAGATTCCAAGGTTAAGACAAAGTGGCCACTTCACAAAGGATCCAGAATAACACCCAGTAAGTTCCTGAAAAGTTTCAGCAGCTGATAGGGTTCACCTGTATGTGGTTCTCTTTACTGCCACAGGTGTAGCCCACAGTGGGGAGGTGGGAAGTCACAAGGAATGCGGAGAAAAGAAAGAAAATAAGTCCCTGAGATGTTATGCCCCAGTTTCAAGGATCTGAATGGTTCATGTGCAGTTTGGGAAGTGGGTCATTTTGATGATGAGTAAATGATGGTTCTACAAAGATTACCTGACTCCACTTACACAAGAATATGTATTCACAGCTGATATAACTGAATGTTCACGTCCCATCCACAGAATTCACTGAAGTAGATTTACAAATTGGCCTTTCTGTTTGGGTGGGGATGGTTGGAGTGGGTCGTTAGGATAGAGTGAACGGTTCTTAGTACCTGTTTCCTGATGTGTTCTGTAAATTGTTTCAATCCATTGAATGGCCCTTGGTAGAGCTCCATGTTCAAGTGTGGCGTAAACACCATTGTTCAACAGTTTTTCACATTTTCACACAATGTAATCCGACTTTGGTGCCCCTTGAGCAATCCATAGAATAATGTACAGCAGGGTTCCACTTAATCTACAGCAATGAACAGTGATCAATGGATATAGAGCGCCAAGGGTCAAATTGTTTGAGTTTTCTGTCTTTGTACTTTTGCCATTCCCAAAAATGGGTTTATAATTTAATTAAGAAAAAAGTGGGGGGACATGGTGGTCTCCTTAGCGTTTGGGAATGAAGCATAGCCTCTGGGGTCTATAAACTGAAGAAACTTTAGTAATCACAGCCTCTGAAATCCAAAGTTAAAGAGCCTGTGATTCCAGTGGGTTTAGAAGACTTCAGACTTGGGATGACATTTATTCCTGACCACAGTAGTGAGGGGCCACGAGTGCAGGAAATGCGCTTGGGGCTGAGTCTTGCCCTGAGTTACCTGCCACGTAGGCCCCAAGGCACAGGCAGCTTAGAAGTCTCTTCCCACGTATGAATGAGCTCACAACTGGAGACTGGCCCCTGAGCTAAAAGCCAACCTCCAGCTGGGCTGGGGTGTCAGGCATGGGGCAGGGTGACTGGCACAGCTTTGTTCAAATCAGTAAAAATAAACTGGAAATTGAGCTTTCACTCACCCACCCTAGTATACTTTACAAAAAAAAAAAGTCTACGTAGTATAATCAAAATGGTACCTGTATCTTAAAATTACGTAGGGAATTTTGTATGCTTAAATAATTGTTCTGGGTTCCATAATGCTTATCTTAGAAACTGTTTAGTAAAAGAAAATATATAAACCGTGCATTTGTGAATGCCCCCCCCTCTTAGAACATTCATCCAAGTTCAATGTGTAGTGTGATGGTTATTATAGATGTTTAAAGTATAGTAAGTGGCTGTGTGACAGGAGAGACTGCTATTTACCTACTGACTTAAGGGTAACTCCTGCCCACGTAATTAAATCAGTATTGTCCTTTCCTGTCGGTTTGATTAATTGCAGTATTGGTGGCTTCCTGCTTGTGACTGTTACCTGATCGTGTCAATGTACATCCGTAGTATGTACATGTGAAAGTGCCTTTCTATTTTAGAGGAGTTTTAGCCTTGTTCTTTACTGTTGCCCCGCCCACCTCCTCCCCCAAGTGCCACCCCAATTCCTCCGTCCACTTGACTGTTTTGAAATTTCTTTCCCTCTCTCCCAGCTGCTTCTCCATCCCCGCACCTTTTCATGCCTCGGTGCTCAGCCTTGTCCTGTCTTGCATCCTTGTCGGTCATGGTCAGGTCATGGTCATCAGACGTGTTGTTTTCCTCTTAGCCGTGACTGTGCCTTTCGTTCCCCACAGTCACTCTCCGGGTCCCTCGCAAATCGCCCCCCTCCCCTCCCCTGCTCACGTGCTGCTGACGGCCATCCTGTTCGCCTCTGCTCTGTACTGCCTCTTTCCATGACATTCCCTCCTCTCTGAGGTGAAAGTAAAGGGGGATGCTTTTCTAGTTCTGGAAGAGAAAAAAAAAAAATGTTAATCTGTTGTGACAATGCACTTTTATGTATAAGTACTGTACATTTTGGCATGTACCATTCCAGGCTTCAGTATACAGTCAGGTCTGTTCTTCATGGTGTATCTTTATAATAAATAAGATAGTTCTGGCTGCCTTTGTCGGCTTCCGATGGTCTGATTCTCTGCCGTGTTTTCATTCCTTTCTATTTCTAATCACTATTTAACGCCCCCCCCCCACACCAGAGTTGAGATGCCTTAAATCGTTAAATCGTATGAAACTACCATTTTTTTTAAAAAAAAAAGTTCTCATCTTTGATTTTGGTTTGTGAATTTGAAAATGAGGCCTCATGCACAGGGCCTTGTCCATGAAGCCAGGGTTTTTTAGAAGCATAGTTTGGAGACCCCTCTGTAATAAGAGAGACGGGGCTGGGAGAGTCTTAACTAAGAGGCTGAGAGAGCACAGTCCTCCTAAACACTCCAGACTGAAATCTTTCCTTTGAGGAGTTTCTGACGTAGTAAACCTTGTCAAGCTGATTTTTGGTTTCATTTGAATACATTGAAATGCAATCCTTAGGTAGAGACTATGTTTAGAATTCCCCCATGTATGGATATTTTATCTTCAAACTTAGCTTTTTTTCCTAACTCTTGAGGACTAGCAATACATAATATAGTTTTGTAAAACTGTATCAGCAATGTGCAGATTGTATCAGCAATATACCAGACTGAATATTGATGAGCTATAAAAAAAAAAAAAAAATTACATAAATTGAGGGGAAAAAACCTTTATTGAAGCATAAAATACATAGAGAAAAGTACACAAATCATTAGTGTAAGAGCTTTCACAAAGTGATACACTAATTTATCCACCCCCCAGATCAAGAAATAGCACATTAACAGCCTCCTAGAAGCTAGACTTTCAAAGTTATCAACATCCTGACGAATAACACCATAGTTTGGTTTTGCCTGTCATTTTAACTTTCTACAAACGGACTCGCGGTGTGTAGATTTTCTGTCTGTCTTCTTTTCTTGAAATTTATGTTTGGGAGAGTCCATGTTGTTAAATATAACGGTAGTTTTCTACATTTTCAGGGCTGTATAGAATTCTATATGAATATGTATAGTCTAGTATTTCCTAATTAAACTTTAGATATTGTATGCATGGCTGTATAGAATTCTATATGAATGTGTTTGGTGTTTTAGTATTTCCTGATTATACTTTGGGGATTATATGCAGAAATCTTTAAACATGGACAAATTAATGGGGGAAAAAAAAAAAAGACCCACCTGTTAAAGGAAATCTTTCCCCCAAACATGATGGAATGACTTTGAACTAAGCCAT